AATATTTAAATTGGAAAAGACTAGTATGTATATTAAGTATTATTTTTTCCTCTATTTGTCAACTGATGTCCCGATGTTCTGATATTTTGATGATGTAATTTTTTGAAAACGAGTCCGTTCTAAGGCAGCTAGACATCCGAAAAAGGCTCTCTTCCATCTGCCGGGAACGTGTTACGAGCTTCTTCGGACACATCATGCGGTCTCCAGGCATGAATTAGAGAAGCTCATAATTACGGGTCGCATAGAGGGCAAGCGCGCCGTGGGCAGAACACCAGCCAGATGGTCAGATCTAGCAAGACAAGCACTTGGTGGTAGTCTGTACCATGCAGTCCATGCCACCCATGATCGAGCACATTGGAAGTACGTCGCATGTGGTCGCAATCCTCAGTAGTGAGGGAACGATATAGAAGAGAGAATTTTTTGAGAATAGAGAAAATGTAATATGTACATAAAATGAATCTAAATCTTAAAGGAAGTCGAGCAAGATAGGGCATCAGTAATTAAGGTCGAATTTTGATCATTACCCCGAACACTAAAATAATAAATGCCTGTATATCTGACGCAAACGTCAAATGTTCATTTATATTGCATGAATGTTTCGGGTCTGTGTGTTTGAGCACTCTATCCATTAACAGTGCCGAGATTTTTGTACATTTTCACGAGAAGTTCGCCACTGAAGTGGAGCACTCGCATTTCCGTTGGATATTTCTAAAAAAAAAAGAGCCGCGCGACGGTAAAAATTCAAAGTAAAAACACTCATACATAAACATTGTCGACGTCTCAAATGAAGTGGCCGGGGGACTAATCAGTTCGAGTGTTTTTCACGACGTATAAAATATTTTTACTGGTGGTAGAACCTCTTGTGAGTCCGCGCGGGTAGGTACCCATGTCTTGCCTATTTCTGCAGTAATGCGTTTCGGTTTGAAGGGTTTTAGCCGTTGTAACTATACTGAGATCTTAAAACTTATATCTCAAGGTGGGTGGCGCATTTACGTGGGCTCCAGTAACCACTTAACACCAGGTGGGCTGTGAGATAGTCCACCCATCTTAAGCAATAAAAAAAAATCAGATTGTGTCTATTTAAAAAAAAATCGTTTATGAGGATTATGAGGAGTTTATACGGAGGAGCGGATTTATTTTTAATTTAGCACATTTATCGAATAATGACAGGTGACCGCGCGGCCAGCATAGCACATTAGCAGGAGCTACATTTAATGTTTTTTTTTTTTTTTTAAGAATCTCAAACAAAGCTTGGGAACACGCAGCAACCTGTCACGCAACCGACTCACGCGACCGTTTCGATTAGACCGCAGTGCTGAGCGATCGTTACCCTACCGCGAAAGTGGATGATTCCGATTCTAATTGCGTATTCCATTCATCATGCCACTAAAGTTTTTTTTTTTTAGGCAAAAGGGTCATCGTTACATTACTATCGGTCAAGTATCAGAATTCATTTTGGGTAAATAATTTTTTTTAATGTTTTTTATTTCATTTTAGCAGTTCGATATTATAAGGGAATGGAATTCAAATATTCAATGGAGATGTCAGCGTTGCAATAGACTCCGGAATATATTTAAGCATTTATCTATAAGGTGTTTTAAGCTCTAGTCTTTAAGTTTGTATGATATTTTAAGTGTAGCATATCTCGACTCTTGGTGTCTGCACTGCGACTGTAGCTTCTTACAAATAGAACAGACTAAGATCCACATTTCGGATTAAGTCAACGAGCCCATTACGGACATCACTATATAGTATAAAACAAAGTCGCTTTCTCTATCCCTATATCTGTCTGTCGCTATGTATGCTTAAATCTTTAAAACTACGCAACGGATTTTGATGCGATTTTTTTTAATAGATAGAGTGATTGAAGAGAAAGGTTTATATGTATAATATCCATTAAATAGTGGAGAAATTAATAATAAATAACAGTTTCGGAAGCGAAGCGAGGGCGGGTCGCTAGTCAAGAATAATCGAATGCACATGTTCGTTTTTTTTGAGAATGCTTCAGACAATCTCGCCAACCATTCATAAGGCTTAACAAAATCCCAATACTCAATAAAGAAAACAAGCTAATTCCACGAAAGGTACGCGAGGTTAATGATTTAAACAAAAATGTCATAATATTAATAGAGAAGATGGTTGGTGCTTATCTAAAGTCCGGATTCGCTTATCGTGAAAATGAAAACGCAATAAATATGCTATTAGTTCTTCATGTGAGCAGAGAAACGTAAATGTCGAACATTTGACGCAAGTCTGCATAGCATTTAAATATCGACGAATCATAGCTCGGCTGTCCGTGACCACGAAAACTTTTATTTTTTATTGCTTAGATGGGTGGACGAGCTCACAGCCCATGGACATCTACAACGTAAATGCACGACTCACCTTGAGATATAAGTTCTAAAGTCTCAGTATAGTTACAACGGCTGACCCGTCACAAATTACAAATTGAAAATATTTAATCTGGGATTAACGGTTAGTTTTAATTGTATTATAATCTCTTGTTGTTTCGTGTCTTTTGAAAGCTACGTCTCAATGTCTACAGTGAGGTTGAAAATAAACACATCGCAGAAGAAGGCAGTGTTGCGGCAAAAAGATAACGGCATACCTAATTTTCGTTAAAGCTTATTTTAAAAAACAATTTTTTTTTTACTAATGATATTTCGGCCTTTCTGGTGCTAGGAGGTTATCAGAGCCTATAGACGACACACCGAGAATGCCGTCACTCCCATTGAAACACGAAGTCGATTAGTCAACATTACGCCAACGCCCATCTAAGCTTTCAAAACTGAAGGAGCTACTGTTTTGCAGCAGAAGCAGGCGTGGTGAGTGTAAAGCTACCCGTGCCGCCACAGCACCCAGCCACTGATATTGGGGTAGTTTTAATAATTTAAATTTTGTGTCTTTTTTGGGTGGACGAACCCACTGCCCACCTGGTGTTAAGTGGTTACCACAGCCCATAGACATCTACAACGTAAATACCGATGCTCACCTTGTGACATGAGTTCTAAGGTCTCACTTTTAACAGTACAACGGCTACCCCGCCCTTCAAATCAAAACGCATTACTGCTTCACTGCAGAAATAGACAGGGTGATGGTACCTACCCGTACGGACTCACAAGACGTCTTACCAAAGAATGTTAATGATGTAGTCCCGTCAATGTACGAGAAGTACTACCAGTGAAAACAGAAGTCTACAGAAGTAAATTAGTTCTAACCGAACTGAATGTCAAACTTGGCTAGGTTACTAAAGAACATAGGTACTGTAGCGTGGATGGTAAGTGGTCCTTGACACGTGGGCTCAAAATCTGATTGACAGCTGTTCTTAAAGCGTAAATGTTCTTCTAAATTCGCGACCAAACTAAGGAGCTAACACTGCCAATGGATACAATTAATTCAAAGTCCTCTCTCAAGTTCAGATATAAAGACAGTTTCAATTGCATTAGTATCGTGCTCATTCGTTGCAATAGATAAAGCGCTGGTAGCAACCAGTACTGGGAAACAGCCTACTAAATACATAATTGCGTTAGTTTGACGGACAGAAATAGATAATACTTTTGTTATTAGATATATTTTTACTGATTCATTTGATTATCTGAATTTACTACGTAATGTGTTAAAGTTTTTAAATTTAGAACACATATTAGAGCCTTAAAGTATAAAAAGTCAGTTTTTATTGTATAGTGAATTACCTATAACTTGGTACTTTTTACTTAGAAATCTTTCGTTTGCTGAATCCTGAATTATAAAGTATTTAAAAAAATATGGAAATAAGAGTTATAAATTAAAATTTTCAAATAAAACACAAGAAAACTAGCTGAAATAAACGATAAATACTATCATTGAATCCAGCCAAATAATTCATTGCTATTCGACTCAATATTTCCGATTAAAATTGTGTAGTTCATTTTGCTTAATCTTGCTATTTCAACTAACTATTGAAATGGTGAAAACATCTTTGAAATGAAATAGTGCTTCGAAAAACAAAAGAGGTTAATTTTTGGTATCGTTATGTGAGATACATAGTACTAGAATATTAAAAAAAGCAAACTAGCATATTAAGCAAAAGATACGGTGTATTTACGATTATTCTCAAACATAAGCATCAAAAATGAACTTAAATTTTCACATATTTTATGTATTTCTTTCCGTAGCAAAGGTAATAGTCATCGTAGCGTTCTCGTAGAGATGCTCATGTAGCGGCCGTAGCATTACGTAGCACGCGCTACAAAGCCGAACGAAGACAAAGCGTAGCATTATGTTTTTGTTGTTCCCTGTTCCATAGTTTCAGAAGTTGGAGTGGCATTTGTGTTGTCATGTGAAAATTAAACATTACGTGTATAATATATGTAAAAATTCAATTTCTTTAATCGATTGAATGCGACCGTGAAAATTATAAATTCACGATAAAGAAAACATCGTTGAATCGACTTAATATTATTTGCTTCAATCACAATCGGTCCATTCCATTAGTAGTTACGACGTGATCGGCTTTCGGTAAAGGTAAAGAATCAATATGAAGTTTTAATCGAGTTTGTGACCTAGAAAACATCGGGATCGCGTTTTCGTCAGCGAACCGTTGACCGCATCGCATTCGATCGAGTTAAGTTTTACTTTCACGGAACGTACGCGCCTCGTGTCGAATCGATAGGGCNTTCAATCACAATCGGTCCATTCCATTAGTAGTTACGACGTGATCGGCTTTCGGTAAAGGTAAAGAATCAATATGAAGTTTTAATCGAGTTTGTGACCTAGAAAACATCGGGATCGCGTTTTCGTCAGCGAACCGTTGACCGCATCGCATTCGATCGAGTTAAGTTTTACTTTCACGGAACGTACGCGCCTCGTGTCGAATCGATAGGGCGTGCGGCCGTCACGGCTGCAGGCAGCGGTACGACAATTACCGTGCCGCGGCCGCTTGTAACGCGAATTTAGGGCAAGGAAACGCGGCGGCGCGGCGGCAACCCCGCCCGGGCCAGTCCGCGTCGCGCCCCGCGCCGGCCGCCCGTGTGCACGCGACCATGCGCACGCCTCAACGCGATCGCCGCCTCGCACCTCACCACTCAAACTTTACACTTTTTATGTGAAATCGATTGAACTTTCGTTTCGTCCCGAGATCGATATTTTGCCGGTGAGTTTAGTCGCTCATTTTTAATTTATTTATAAGATTGGTTTTTTTTGTTCGCAACGTGAAACTTTGAATTCGAAAGTCAAAACCGTTGCGCGCTCGTCATGTGTGCGACGCGGTAATGTATCGACAATGACATAAAATCTGAACGTGAAATCCTTTCCAAGTATAAATTGACTTACGAAATACCTAATATATAAATATAAGCGACGATAAGTTCGTTCGACGCGAGCCCGGAAATCGGCACGGTAATAAACGCCAATCGCCAAACCGCCACAAAGGTGAAAGGTCAGAAACTAGTTCCAAACTTCTCGCGTCAACGCTAAAGACGTTCACGAAGTTTGTAATAAAAAGTAACGTTCGGTGTTTGATCGTAATCTGCCTGACCTGAAAAACGTTCGAAATGCGTGGCGGTCATGTTCGGGGCTCCTTTCTGAATATTTATATATAAACAAAAAAACAATTTTCATAAAGAGTTGAATTTACGTTGCGAATGATGTAATTGATCAATGTTTGTTATACGTAAACATAGTCTTCGTTAATTATAGCAGGAGTGAAACTATAACAAATGTTGAATCATAGACCGTATGTTTTAACGTGAAACAGACAGTATCGACAAATTCAACGAAGCGCGTTCAAAAGTGTGATACAGTCAGTGTACATTTATGATTTTTGTTGTCCTACTCTGACTTTTTCCCTATGAATCCGATTCTTATCATCCGACGTAGTTCATTGAGAAATAAGATATTTATCCTGCTCATCTATCCATACTTGGCGTAAAGAAAGGCGCGCACTTGTCTTTTGTTTGTAACAAGGTACCTAATCTATCTGTATATATAAAAATGAATTGCTGTTCGTTAGTCTCGCTAAAACTCGAGAACGGCAGGACCGATTTGGCTAATTTTGGTCTTGAATTATTTGTGGAAGTCCAGAGAAGGTTTAAAAGGTAGATAAATATGAAAATGCTCGGAATTGAATAATGGTAACAATTTTGTTGTTTCTTTGATGTGTCCCCCGTCGGAAGGATTCCTTTTGTTTGTTTTAAGTTTATTTTACACAAAAGTTTAGGTCTTTTATTTATCGATTGAGGCACTACGAAGTCTGCCGGGTCAGCTAGTAACAAATAAATATTTTTGTTATACAATAATACCTGAAGTATAAAAATAAATTAAAACACACACAAAATTAATTCAGTTTTGATGTTCTTTGAATAGTGCACTAAACGATTAGGTCATAAGTCTTAGAAGTGTGTAGACACGTATTTTTCAACGTATGTTTCGTTTGAGAAACGATTCTCTCGTATTATCCGTCCGGCATCCGATTCGAGAAGGAATTCATGCGTACACTCAATAATAAATCTGTACGAAAGCGAAAATGTGAGAGAATGAAATGTGAGAGAAGATGTAAGTGTGTGTGTGCGTCTTTTGTGTACTGCAAAGAATTTAAAAAAGGAACTTGTTTCGAAATCATACGAATTAAGTACCGTAACTATAATTAAAACTATTTTTACGGTTTATTTTTACGTTTTTTCTTTTATCTTTTACGGCGCTTCGAATAACAAACGTGAGATTAATCCGTAATAATATTTTCATCCGTAATATCCGTTATTAATCCGTAATACAGAAGAAAACATTGTAAAATTAGCGCTAACTGATTTTTGTAGACGTACTTCGAAACTTCGAGCTTTATAATATGTATTTGCAAAACTCCAAATGGAAAAAGAGCTTTTTTTCGGTGAGCATCGATCGGGTCGGTCAAATTAACTTATGCATAATGATATAAGAAAATTTGGTCACTACTCGAAGAACCCCTATATACTGCGATTTTTGTTACAAGAATTAAGTAATGGGTCGGTAAGTAATGATGCAATAGTCCTCCTGATGTAGCGAATTTTCGGAAAACGACAAAGCAAATGAAAATCTATTAATACTAGAGGTCCCGCAGTAGTCGAAATTCAACTATAATTCATTGGAATTGTAAATTTGTACACTATTATGATTGTATTTTATACTTCTATAATCACAAATTTCGTCAAGACTACACTATAAAAAATATTAACAAAGACAAACAATATTTAATCTATTCTCAATTTGACAACAGACGTCAAGACCAAAAGTTTGACAATAAACAAAGAGTATATGTGTGTGTGTCAAATACATGGTAGTGTCTGTAATGTTTTCTTTATTGATTTAATGTATTTTTTATGCATTATTTAAGAAAAATATTAGCATTATGCACTTCTTCTCTATATTCTCTATAAGTGTGGAAAATTTCATACTACTCCGTCCCCGCAATTTTCGTAAAAAGGGATACAAAGTTTTTGCTTCACGTATTAATATTTAGATAACTTATTGAAGTAACTAGTACTCAATATTTCAATATTTCTTAAAACTGTTAATATCAAAATATTAAATAACTATTATATAGGTAAATAATTAAATTAAATTAAATTATAGGAGACAATAGAACGCATTATGTCTGTCTAATGATAAGAATAATAATAGTTATCTTCCGGTCGCCAAAATTGTAGCGCTATTTACGAAGAGGCATTGCTAAAATAATCATGTTCCTTAAAATGCACAAATTCCTTAGGTGGGACAAAGAGAGTTTTCATCGCTTAGCTGTTGCGTTCTATTTTGAGCAATGAATGGGCTTCACTGTGGGTTTTTATTTTTATTTTTTATTGCCTTTTTAGGCAGACGAGCATACGGCTCACCTGATGGTGAGTGGTTACCGTCGCCCATGGACTTCAGTAATGCCAAGGGCAGAGCCAAGCCGCTGCCTACCGCTTAATACTCTCAAGTTTGTCTACTCTTGTTTAGTCATGACATCATCGTATATCCGTGTTTCAATACAAACTCATTTGAGACTTTCGTTGGAGATATATTCGGGCCAGTAAATACTGCATATCTTTCGATGTGATTGAATTCAATTATAGTCAAAGATAGTTTATTTGATTCTATTTTGATTCTTCTTTTTTTTTTTTTGCCACTATATGGGATTGGTACAGCACGTTCTATTTTCCATTCCGGCCTATCATACGACATCACTGCACTCTTGTTTGCACTGAAGTCTTGAAGTCAGTGAAATTGACATTCAAAGAATCCGTTAATTACAACTAATGTTGTGTTTGTGTATGTATACTGTATGAGTATTTGTATAGGTATATAGTATTGTTATTATTTTTCATATCTCTCAAAAAGAAATACACCTGCCACAGAACCCTTTACACCACCCTTGGTTGACTGATAGAGAATGACTTAGGCATTAGGTCCGCCACTGCACTTTGGTGCATAAAGCTGAATAAATAAATATTGAACAAAGAAACATACATACATGTCAAGCTATAAGAAGTGTTACAATGAAACCAAAGTACGTAATTACGTTTTCACCATCAATGAAACCAATATAAAACCCCATATGGACAAGTACGAATTGTACGTCTAATAAAATTTCCCGAAATTCCGGAATATTTTACGTAGCTAAATTAAAAAAGTTATTTATAAACAAGCGACGGCCTGTTGGATGGAAAAGATACAAGCAAATAATTCTTGACATTGCTAAAACGTGAACCTTCGCTCGGATATTGTCTAAAGCGTCTTACAATTTAATTTAAGTTTTAGGAACTTTTCGATATTGTGAAATTAAAAAAAAAGTCTTAAAAAGCAGGTTTTGTTCGTTTTTTTTTTAATAATCAAAGGCGACTTGAGATGATACTTTNCGACGGCCTGTTGGATGGAAAAGATACAAGCAAATAATTCTTGACATTGCTAAAACGTGAACCTTCGCTCGGATATTGTCTAAAGCGTCTTACAATTTAATTTAAGTTTTAGGAACTTTTCGATATTGTGAAATTAAAAAAAAAGTCTTAAAAAGCAGGTTTTGTTCGTTTTTTTTTTAATAATCAAAGGCGACTTGAGATGATACTTTTATAATTGTATTTATTACATTATATCTAGTTTTGTTGTTTTGCTTGGGCCACTGATCTGTATGTTGATAACAGGCATTCCTATTTTAATTTTAATTATACCTTAGCGTTTTGATTATGTATTGAATGCGTTTCATAGGGTTTTTAATACTGACTTTTGGTGAGCTATGTATGTATATAGGTATATGCATGCATGTGTATGTATACTTAATATGTGATTGAAGATGTTAGAGGAAGTCTGAAAGTGGCACCTGTGACAGAGAAGCTGAGGAGTGCGCGTTTGGGATGGTATGGACATGTGATGAGACGAAATGAAAATGAGGTTGGTAAGAGAGTGTTAACTATGAATGTGGAAGGACATAGAGGAAGAGGTAGACCTAAGAAGAAATGGATGGATTGTGTGAAAGACGATATGGGTAAGAGGGGAGTGAGCGAAGAAATGGTATATGATAGAAGAGTATGGAAGGAGAAAACATGTTGCGCCGACCCCAGGTGACTGGGAGAAAGGCAGGATAATGATGATGATGTGTATGTATACTTGCATTACAATAAGTTTTGATTTCTTTGAGATTAATTCCTAATTAAGGAGAAAAAATAATTTTGTTATCAACTTCGCAAAAAAGTTTATTTTTACGGTAAATTGAAATCGTGTAACAAGATTGTTTGATTTCGTTAGTAACTCTTAAATATGATGTTCTTATTTTACTTAATATATTATTCTATTTATATAAGTTTTTGTTTTATTTTTTATTCCTGAAATAATTCCTTTCGATTGATTTAAAAAAAAAAGACATTATCTTGAAATAATAATTATATTTGTAATAAAAATGATGTTCAGCTTTATTCAGAAACCACATTGTACCACCATTTATCGTAAATTGCAGTGCTTTAAAAAACACATCATGCTATTATGTATTATTGTGTGTTAAATTAAGACATCTAAAAATTAACATTATACTACAATAAAAAAATATTATTGAGAATATGAGTGTGAGTCCTCTTGTGAGTCCGCGCGGGTAGGTACCACCACCGTGCCTATTTCTGCCGTGAAGCAGTAAAGGGTGGGGCAGCCGTT